CCCCCCTCCCCGCCCCGGGCCAGGAGGAGCCTTTGTCGCCTCTCACCTCCTCCTGTGGGTGGGAGGTGGAAGGGTGCCGGTGGGGTGGGGTCTTCCTCCATCAGTAGACCTCCCTTCTTACCCGCTGATTTGTTTTTTTGGAACGCATCAATTGGATCTAACTTTTTAAAAGATCTGTATTGGAGTATAGTTAATTTACAATGTTGTGTTGGTTTCTGCTGCACAGCAAAGTGGATAAGTTATACTTATACATATATCCCCTCTTTTTTAGATTCTTTTCGCATATGGGTCATTACAGAGTATTGAGAAGAGTTCCCTGTGCTATACAGTAGGTCCTTCTTGATTATCTACTTTATATATAGTAGTCTGTATATGTCAATCCCAATTCTCACTGATGTTTGATCCTTTCCCTTCCACTGGCTAGCTTCCCTCGGTAAAAATAGACGTTCTTGAGCCTCTTATAATTTCTGTACCCACTCTGCCCAGGAACTTGTACTTGCGACCTGTATGACCCTGGGCAAGTGACTTAATTTTCCTGCTCCTCAGTTTCCTTATCTGTAAAATGGAAATAATACTACTACCTGCCCCCAAAGGACTGCTGAAAGGATTAAATTAGGTAACACATTTAGGGCATTCAAAACAGGGACCGGCTTATGTTAAGGAGTCAATAAATGGTAGCTATCATTACTACTCTTGAGTCTTGAAACAAGCAAAAGAGGCCCTCTGCCTCAGCCCACACCCACTGCAGCCCCCAGCCCATCCTCTCCACAGCGCTCACTGCTTCTCCTTCCATCCTGCTCGCCACAGCATGGCCCACTCCCACCACCCACAGAAGCTGCTCTTCCCAGGCCACAGATTCCTAGCTGCCAAACCTGATGCACGTTTTCCTGTTCTGCTCTTTCTTAGCCACTGTCCTGTCCTGCCTTCTTCACCTGCCCTCCTCCATTGGGGTTCTGGTCACCTCCCTGTCTCCCCGGCTTCTGCATCTCAGTCTCTGCCCTGGACCCCTCTTCCCATCAGGCTTTAAATGCCACCGTTCCCAGAGTTCTGCTCTTCAGTCTCCCTCACCTCTTCATAAGCTGACTCCCAAATCTGTACCTCCCATGGGGGTGTCCCCTGAGCTCCAGACCTGCCTCCTGGATGCCTCCCCCAGCCTCCGCCGTCAAGCAGGTACCTCAAATTCATCACCCACAATTCAAGTGCACTGTCCTTCCCCACCTCAACCTTGTTCCCCCTCCGGGTTCCCTCCAGCCCCGAGAACAACCTTCCCATCCTTCCAGCTGCCCCCCTCCACCATATGCAAACTCATCATGGGTCCTGTGGATACAACTTTTCCATCCTGTCCTCTCCAACCCACCTTTAGGTCTGAATGTTCTTCTGTTCTGCTCTCCTTTGAGATCCTAACCATCCTTTCACCCATATCTCCTGGCCTCCTCAACCCACCCTGGATGTTAGCAGTAATGCTTGCACCCAAACTCAAACTGGTCAAGTTCCTTTTCCCTCTAAGTTTTTGCCTTCCTGTTTCCTCGGCGTGGAACTCCCTTCTCTCCTCCTTCACCTTGCTGACTCTCACTGGCTCCTCCAGACACAGATGAAAGCCCCCTCCTCTGGGAAACCTCCCCTCTGGCCCTAGCCTCGGTTGGTAGCCCTCGCCTACAACCCCATAACCCCAGCATTTCCCTACCACAGCCCTCTTCTCTGGGGCTTCTGCCTTCTGCACCAGACTGGACATCTCTCAGGACAAACGCTGTTTCTTTCATCTCTGCTGCTTATCACCTAGCAGGGAGGCTAATTCAAAATCAACACTCAACCTTTGTCAAATGAATTCATGAATACAAACAGGATATGAATTAGGTGTCCACTTTTTTTCCTTAGATTACTAAAAAAATGATGGTTGATAATAAAAGCAACAGAAGGAGTGATTTTCACTTCTTTTTGAAAGAGAAAATATAAGCTTATCTTCTAGATTTTGAAAGAGAAAATATAAGCTTATCTTCTAGATTACCATTTCTATTCCTCAAAATGAAATGAAAATACTGGCTCCCTAGGCAGTTTGACACCCATAAATAAGCTTAATGAGAAATATAACAATTTATTTTTTTACTCATTAAAAATAACTAGTAACATCTACTATATCCAAAGGAAGTAACTTCACAGAATACTTTTGCAAATATACACAAGACCCTGCTGACAGAGGTTGTCCTGGGGAAGCGGGGACCACGGTCAGGGTGGAGGAAGAACTTATTTCTCTGCATCCCTGTTAGGACTGTTTGTTTATTTGTTTGACCTATGCAAAAGGCATGGTATTTGGGTTTGAACCCAAGTTTTGTCACTTAAATAGGGATAACAAAAACAGTACCTGCATTCTGTGAAGACTACTTCTTGTAAAGCACTTAAAATAGAGCTTGTGGGCTTCCCTGGTGGCTCAGTGGTTGAGAGTCCGCCTGCCGATGCAGGGGACACAGGTTCGTGCCCTGGTCCGGGAAGGTCCCACATGCCGCGGAGCAGCTGGGCCCGTGGGCCATGGCCGTTGGGCCTGCGCATCCGGAGCCTGTGCTCCGCAACGGGAGAGGCCACAACAGTGAGAGGCCCGCGTACCGCAAAAATAACCCGCCAAAAAACAACAAAAAAAATAGAGCTTGTTACATAACAAGCACTATTTAAGTACCTGTTAAATAAAATTTAAAAACCCCTTTTAACTCTGTAGCCCATAATGGACCGTTATGGATGTCCTTTAAAAAAAAATCTTTATTTGGTTTTAGTGATTTTTATAGCAGTTTGCTTTTTATACATTTGTCTATCTTCTTCTGTGTGTCTTAGCTTATTTTTAAAAACATCTTTTCCATTTTTATCTTTTATTTATTTAACAAAGAACATAAAGTGCTAGCACAAAGGAGATGCTTCTGGAAAAGTCCGTGACCTAAAAAGAGTGGTGGATTCTCCAAAACTCCTTCCTGTGTAGGCCAGACCCTACGCCCCCAATTAAGCAAACTTGACTGAGTGCCTGTTACTGGGACACGAGAGAGAACCATGCTGAGCCAGATTCCCAAAGAGCAGATGCATACCACCTGTGTATGCCAGGTGAATTTTTTTTTTTTTTAAGGATGTCTCAAACAATTTGTTTTACTACTTATTAGATTGTTAGTGTATTTTAGAAAAACATGTAACTAGTATAACACCCATGATTTCACTGTTATTGTTGTTTAGGGCAAAGCTAAATTTTAAAAGCCATTCTATTTGATTTAAAATATTAAGTAAATTATAGCATGAATGGCACGCAAGGTGAGAGAAATGCTCCGGTGGACTCAGTTGTGGTACACAAAATGCCCTATCCTGCAAGAGTTCAACAATTTAACTGGGGGACAAAGACATACATGTGAATAATACAGCCAGACTGTGACAGCGGGCTGCGGAAAGGGTACACACAAAGTGCTATGCAGACCTGGGAAAGGGAGAGGTCGCATCACTGGATCTGGGTGGGCTTCTTAAAGAAGTAGGGTTTGCTCTGGTCTTAAAAGAGGTTTAGCTGCCTCATCTAAACCCCTAGAGCTTTGGGCCTTCCACTAGTCGTCCAGCAGAGGCAGTGCAGGAGGACGAACTAGGAACGAGGCAAGTGGGTCCAGCTCTGCATTTCCCCAGCCATGCAAGTCACAGCCACTAAAGCTCCAGGACACCCTCATCCAGAAGAACCTGGTGAGGCCGTTGCTCTCCACGAAGCCCAGGAAGACCCTGTGAAAGGGACTTCATAGACATACTGGGAAGAAGTCACTGCCTTAACGCATCTTACGGTCCTGGGAGCCCTCAGGGCTCTGACCTAGATGGAGTGCAAGCTTCTGAGGCAGCCTGGATCCTAAAAGTTCTTGGATTTACCTCTCAAAAAGGAAAAAAAAAAAAAGGTCTATATCTGTCTATCTACCTATCTACCTATCTACCATAAAATGACATAATTTTTTTAAATGCATAAAACAAATGCAGTTTAAGAAATAATTATAAAGCAAACACATCATGGTCTTGATCACCCACAAGAAAACACTGCTTGCACCCCAGAGGCCTCCCCGTCTCTCCTCCACAGGTGGTCCTGGTTTAGTCAATTAGCCTTATCTGCTTTTCTGGCTTTAACATTACTTTCATGGCTACAGAATGTATAAAACTGGTCCCATTCTCTTAAAAATAAAAGATACATGAAGTTTGGGGGGGGGAGGAGCATTCTCTGCAGAGGGGATGTTTGGGCAGAGGCCGCTGGTGGGGATGAATGAGAACAGGGTGTGGAGAGGAGGGGGAAGTGTGTGAGGAAACAAAACAAAATAGGGAACATGGGCAGGGGGTCAATCTGGAAAGGCCATGAGTATCAGGCAGAGTTTGGGTTTTGCTCTGAAAGTGAGGGGCAGTTGGACCAGAGCTCCGGTTCAGC